TGCCCAGTCTCTTTCTTATTGTTGAATCATGAACACTGGCCTTAATTGAGGCAAGTGAGGCCTTTAGTTCTTTAGATGTTGTTCTGAGTTCTTTTATGACCTCCTGGACGAGTCGTCATTGCTCTCTTGGAGTAATTTTGGTAGGCCGGCCACTGCTGGGAAGGGTCACCACTGTTCCAAGCTTTCTCCATTTGTGGATAATGGCTCTGAACGTGGTTGGCTGGAGTCCCAAAGCTTTAGAAATGGCTTTATAACCCTTTCCAGACTGATACATGTCAACTATTTTGTTTCTCATCTGTTCTTGAATTTCTTTAGATCGCGGCATGATGTGTTGCTCTTTAGTCATGCTTCACTTTGTCAGACAGGTTCTATTTAAGTGATTTCTTGATTCAGCAGGTCTGGCAGTAATCAGGTCTGTGTGTGTCGCTAGTGAAATTTAACTCAGCTTTCTAAAATAATTCTTTAGATCGCGGCATGATGTGTTGCTCTTTAAGCATGCTTCACTTTGTCAGACAGGTTCTATTTAAGTGATTTCTTTATTCAACAGGTCTGGCAGTAATCAGGCCTGCGTGTGGCTAGTGAAATTTAACTCAGCTTTCTAAAATAATGTGGTTAATCACAGTTCTTTCATGATTTAAGGGGGGGTGGGGCGGCGGGGGGAATTAATTTTTCACATAGGGCCAGGTAGGTTTGGATGGCTTTTTTCCCTTAATAAATGAAATCATCATTAAAAAAGTGCATTTTGTATTTACTTACATTATCTTTGTGTAATATTCAAATTTGTTTGATGATCTGAATGTTTTAAGTGTGACAAATATGCAAAAAAAATAAAAAAAGAGGAAGGGGGCAAAAACATTTTCAAAAAAAAATTTCCTCTTTTTGTATTTTTTACATATATAGCCCTATATATATATATAGGGTTATATCACATATCACTGCATGCCACTGCAGTTCTGCACCACTGCATATATATTTTCACATGTTGGTTAATGGGATCAATACTGCAAACCCTTTTTCTGAGCATCAGACATGCGTACCTGTCTCTGAGCCGTGATCCATATGGGCAAACTCCCGTTGTCCCACCACTCATTCACGAACTGGGACTTATAGTAGGATTTCTTCTCCCAGGTGCTGCTGTTAAACCACATGTTGTGAATGACACCGTGATTCTCAATGTATTTACCTGAAGACAGAGATGCTTTCTCATTAGTCATATGCTTCATATGCTTTCTCATATCATTATATACATAATAAAACTTTGTTGTATGATTTACTTTGAAAGAGTTTTCACTCTGAAATGTCTAAAATTATATATAACTCTCACTTTAAATACATATTAAATACATATTCATGCACAATGTATTTTAGACTGCATATGTCAGCATCTTTACCTGTTAGGATGGTAAAGTGTGTCGGGCTGGTGACGGTGAGGAACGCCGGTGTCACGTATGTGGCTTTGACCCCGTCTTTCGCCATGGCATCCAGGTGCGGCGTTTCCACGTCCCTGTCATAGTCCCACCTGAAGCCATCAAAGGAGACAAGCAGCAGTTTGCTGCGCTCAGACGCCCCACGGTGTACCGGGATGGGACCCGCCAGAGAGCAAACGCACAGACACAGACAGAGAGCAGCCGTCCACAGCATGATCCAATCACACATTGAGCACAAACAGCTGTCTATCAATCAGTGGCTCACACCTGACTGCGGCTCACACTTCTCCTGACCTCTTTTACTCACATCTGCAGGCCAAAGTTTCATCCTGTTATCTTATCTGCTCATATCGGCAGGATTTGCCTATTTTGAACTTTCTGTTCATCAAAGAATCCTAAAAAATAAAAATGTATCAAGGTTTCCACAAAAATATGGAGCAGCGCAATTGTTTTCAACATTGATAATAATAATAATAATAAATGTTTCTTGAGCTGCAAATCAGCATATTAGAATGATTTCTGAAATATCATGAGACATTGAAGACTGGAGTAATGATGCTGAAAATTCAGCTTTGCATCAGAGGAATTAATTACATATTTAAATATATTCATGTAGAACATAGCTATTTTAAATTGTAAAAATATGTAACTTTTTGTACGTTTTTTTTTTTTTTCTCAAATAATCAAATACATGCAGACATGGTGAGCAAAAGGGACTTATTTCAAAAACATTAAAAAATCTTACCGACCCCAAACCTAATGTATGTTATCTGTTTAAAATGCTGCAGGATATTTTTTGTCACTAGCTTTGCTTTTCTTTATCATTTCTGAAGTCTCAGTGTCTTTTAATCAGCCTTTATTTTAGTGGATTATCGCTGATGTGTGAAGTCAGAAGTTCACAAAGGTGTCCTTTAAAACCTATAAACTTGTAACTCTGATTTGACATTCATTATTGACCTCTTTAAACAGTCGGCTTATCAACATCCTTCTGAAAGAACATTTTCTCTTGCACACTTTGTCCTTGATAGTAGTTCATAGGAAATATCTAATCTGTGTGAAGATAAAGAATTGCATCTCTCAGCTTACTTACAAAAAGTCTTGACCCCTGTCACTGGAGTGTTTGTGTGTCTGTACATGTTCTTACATGATCCATGATTGAAACCTGATTGGTTAAATACTTCAAACAATCAAATGTTTTTGTCTTTCCTTGTTATTTGTTTTTATTTTTATTCTTCTCTAACATTTTCTTAAATAATTCTTAATTGAAGCACCTTTTCACCTTTAACACTTAAACACTCCTGACAGCATCACCGTAACAACCTCTAACTCTTGACAGCATTACCGTAACAACCCCTTACTCTTGACAGCATTACCGTAACAACCCCTTACTCTTGACAGCATCATCGTAACAACCCTTTACTCCTGACAGCATCACTGTAACATCCTCTTACTCTTGACAGCATCACCATAACAACCCCTTACTCTTGACAGTGTCATCATAACAACCTCTTACTCTTGACAGCATCACCGTAACAACCCCTTACTCTTGACAGCATTACTGTAACAACCCCTTACTCTTGACAGCATCACCGTAACAACCTCTTACTACTGACAGCGTTATCGTAACATCTTACTCTTGACAGCATCACCATAACAACCCCTTACACTCGATAGCGTCACGTAGCAACCACTTACTCCTGACAGCGTCACTGTAACAACCCCTTACTCGCATCACCATAACAACCCCTTACTCTTGACAGCATTACTGTAACAACCCCTTACTCTTGACAGCATCACCGTAACAACCCCTTACTACTGACAGCATCACCGTAACAACCCCTTACTCTTGATAGCGTCACTTAACAACACCTTACTCCTGACAGCATCACTGTAACAACATCTTTCTCTTGACAGCATCCCCGTAACAACCTCTTACTCTTGACAGCATCACCGTATCAACCTCTTACTCTTGACAGGATCACCGTAACAACCCCTTACTCTTGACAGCATTACTGTAACAACCCTTTACTCCTGACAGCATCACTGTAACATCATCTTACTCTTGACAGCATCACCATAACAACCCCTTACTACTGACAGCATCATCGTAACAACCCCTAGTCGACTAGGTCGTAGGCGGAGCTTGGTAAGCACTGAGCCCCAGCATGTGACGCTGATCATGTTTGGCGTTGGCATGGTAAACCGCACGCATCTGGAAGCAGACATTGGAGGACTGACCATGGAGGCAGAGCTTAAGAAAATACATGGCAGTTTTACTCTAAAGGAGAAAATGAAGGGTAAATCAAACAGCATTTTTAAATAAAAGTAACATTTTAAAATATATTGTATACTTAAAAAAAACACCTTATCCTATAATTTCTGTTCTTTTGATGCAGATATTCTCCATCAGAAAATGACTGAGACCTGTGCCTCGGCCCATATTGGATGTGTGAACATTGTGCTTCTGGAAGGAATCACACCAGACATACAGTCAGTAACTAATTTAACACCAGGCACTAAGACCCACTGAGTGATCTACCACTTATCAGCATCCACTTTTATATAAATCAATTTACCTTGAAATGTCTAATTTCTCTTTTTTAAAATACACCCAATCACCGTTTCACATGCAAAACACTGTAAACCGTTGGTAGGTTGGCTTCCTGAAGAGTGTAGACACTTTGTCTCTGTGGTGCCTTAATATTTTACTCTGTTTATTTGATCGGTCTGACAACAATGCAAAAACTGCATATCCATACACTACTGTTCTAAAGTTTGCAGTCAGTAAGATTTTTAAAAATATTTTTGAAAGAGGTCTCTTTCATTTATTTGATCAAAAATACTAAAACAGTAGTACTGTGAAATATTATTACAATTCAAAATAACTTTTCTATTTTAATATATTGTAAAGTGTAATTTATTCCTGTTAGTCCACGTGATCCTTCAGAAATCATTCTAATATGCTGATTTGGTGCTCAAGAAGCATTTCTTATCAATACTGCATTTATTCATGCATCAATCATGCATTTAGAAATCTTTGTTTGCACTCCCACTTTTTATCAAATGAATGCATGCTTGCCAAATAATATTATATATAATATTATAATATATATATAATATAATAATCTGAACCCAGATTTTTGAACGATAGTGCATTTAATGACCAGCGTGTCACAGATACTTCACTGTGTTTTTAGAAACCGCATGGTAGCAAGCTAAAAACTACTCAAACACAGTTTAGAAACTCCATAGCACTACACTGGAAACGACCCACAACAGCCTAGATTTAGAAAATGTAAAATCCTGTTCAAGCAGCCCTTGTAATGTACTTAAAATGCACTTTAATCCTTGCATACTCTCTGTGATTACCATATTTTAAAGTTATTTTAAAGTTATTCTTGGATCTGTTTTTTTTTTCAGGTGTTCTCTCTTTCCACAAATATATTTTTACGAGTACAGATTTATCACAGCTTATATGACACTTTTGAAATGTTTTCTCTGTGGATAACTTTCCCTCTTCTACCTTCCTGCTCTCTACTCTCCTCTCTTCTCTCTATCTGTCATCTTTTTGTTGTTGTTTTTTCTGCCTCTCTCACTGGCAGACTAGAGGATTTTCCAACCTCACCTACCAGCACAGCCAAGCAGGAGTTCCTGTATGTCTAAGTTTCCTTAGTAACCTTGTCCAGTCCTTCATGACCATTCATAACATCTCCATAATATTTGTATGTCGCAGTCCCTTCCATATGTCAAATATATACTATATAGTATATACCTTTCACTCTTACTAATCCAAATGCTCTCCTGCTCTGAATCCCTTTCATATAAATGGTTCACAGGATTATATAGTGTCTTCAGTAGCGGTCATTGAAATCATAACATCCCCATGACACTAATTTTACAGTCATATTTACTTTAATGCATTGTTCCATTGCCTAGTCCAGTGGTAGGCAAGTTGGGTCTTAGAGAGCCGCTCCAACCGTAATCAAACACACCTGAACAAGCTAATCAATGTCTTCAGGATTACTAAGGCTATAGGCAGGTGAGTTTTGTTTTCAGGGTTGGAGTTGAACTCTGCAGGACTGCGGCTGTCTAGGACCGAACTTGCCTACCCCTGGTTTAAGCCCACTGAAATGCTTGAATGCAGACACATTAACATCAGAATCTCTATGTTTTAGGTAAAAAAAAAACATTAAAATAACACATTATTAAAGCTGCAGTCCGTAACTTTTGCCTATTTGTCGCCATCTCTGTTTGAAAACCTGCAATTGCAGCTGTGTGCGGAATAATCTTCCTTGTGGGTTGTACTCTGGCATGGCTCCAGCACGGATGAATCTAACGTTTTGAGGAGTATGTGTGGCAGTCAGTCACCGCACTATATATCCTATTACTCCTGACAGCATCACCGTAACAACCCCTTACTCTTGATAGCGTCACGTAACAACCCCTTACTCCTGACATCGTCACTGTAACAACCCCTTATTCTTGACAGGAGTAAGGGGTTGTTACGATGATGCTCCTGACAGCATCACAGTAACAACCCCTTACTCTTGACAGCATCATCATAACATCTTACTCCTGACAGCGTCTCCGTAACATCATCTTACTCTTGGCAGCGTTACCGTAGTCTCGCGTAGCCAGACCTTCAGACTGACGGCTGAAGGTCTGGAATCCATGGCAGCTTTCATTGGCCAAAGCC